TTCGCATCCTTTGCATTCCCAGTTCCTCTTCGGCAGGTGGCGTTTTTCCGACATCATGGGGGGGGCTGCCGCCCCCCCCAACCCCCCCGCTACGTTTTAGATTTTCTGCAGAGATTTAATTAGTTGCACCCCTAGTTGAATCATCAATTCTTCGAACATCATGGGGGGGTTGCACCCCTAGTTGAATCATCAATTCTTCAACCATCATGGGGGGGGCTGCCGCCCCCCCCAACCCCCCCGCTACTTTTTAGACTTTTTGCAGAGATTTAATTGCACCCCTATTCAAATCATCACTTCTGCAAACAACATCGTGGGGGGGGCTGCCGCCCCCCGCAACCCCCCCGCTACTTTTTATATTTTTTTTACAGGGATTGACATGCCCTCCTACTTGAATCATCATTTCTTTGACCCCGTCACACGATTTGTGGGTGATGCTAGGGATGTTGGTGGGACATGCGGGGTATATTTCGCAAGAACATGCTGTAAAATACGACACTTTACTGGCCCGGCAGAGATTGAATTGCACCCCTGTTTGAATCATCACTTTTTCGAGCGTCCAATTTCGCGAGAAAATGCTGCAAAATACGACATTTTAGGTAATCTGTGTAGTCCGTGTATGTCTGTATGTATGCATTTCTTCGAACATCATAGGGGAAGCCACCCCCGCCAACCCTCCCGCTGCCTTGTAAATTCTATCACACCCTTTCTTGAATCATTGCACCCCTACTTGAATCACCACTTCTTCCGACATCATGGGGGGGCTGCCGCCCCCCCCCAACCCCCCCCGCTACGTTTAGATTTTCTACAGAGATTTAATTAATTGCACCCCTAGTTGAATCATCAATTCTTCGAACATCATGGGGGGGGGCTGCCGCCCCCCCCAACCCCCCCGCTACTTTTTAGACTTTTTGCAGAGATTTAATTGCACCCCTATTCAAATCATCACTTCTGCAAACAACATCGTGGGGGGGGCTGCCGCCCCGCCAACCCCCCCGCTACTTTTATATTTTTTACAGGGATTGACATGCCCTCCTGCTTGAATCATCTTTGACCCCGTCACACATGCTGTAAAATACGACACTTTACTGGCCCGGCAGAGATTGAATTGCACCCCTGTTTGAATCATCACTTTTTCGAGCATCCAATTTCGCGAGAAAATGCTGCAAAATACGACATTTTAGGTAATCTGTGTAGTCCGTGTATATTCAAATCATCACTTCTGCAAACAACATCGTGGGGGGGGCTGCCGCCCCCCCCAACCCCCCCGCTACTTTTATATTTTTTTACAGGCATTGACATGCCCTCCTACTTGAATCATCATTTCTTTGACCCCGTCACACGATTTGTGGGTGATGCTAGGGATGTTGGTGGGACATGCGGGGTATATTTCGCGAGAACATGCTGTAAAATACGACACTTTACTGGCCCGGCAGAGATTGAATTGCACCCCTGTTTGAATCATCACTTTTTCGAGCATCCAATTTCGCGAGAAAATGCTGCAAAATACGACATTTTAGGTAATCTGTGTAGTCCGTGTATGTCTGTATGTATGCATTTCTTCGAACATCATAGGGGAAGCCACCCCCGCCAACCCTCCCGCTGCCTTGTAAATTCTATCACACCCTTTCTTGAATCATTGCACCCCTACTTGAATCACCACTTCTTCCGACATCATGGGGGGGCTGCCGCCCCCCCCCAACCCCCCCCGCTACGTTTAGATTTTCGACAGAGATTTAATTAATTGCACGCCTAGTTGAATCATCAATTCTTCGAACATCATGGGGGGGGGCTGCCGCCCCCCCCAACCCCCCCGCTACTTTTTAGACTTTTTGCAGAGATTTAATTGCACCCCTATTCAAATCATCACTTCTGCAAACAACATCGTGGGGGGGCTGCCGCCCCGCCAACCCCCCCGCTACTTTTATATTTGTTTACAGGGATTGACATGCCCTCCTGCTTGAATCATCATTTCTTTGACCCCGTCACACGATTTGTGGGTGATGCTAGGGATGTTGGTGGGACATGCGGGGTATATTTCGCGAGAACATGCTGTAAAATACGACACTTTACTGGCCCGGCAGAGATTGAATTGCACCCCTGTTTGAATCATCACTTTTTCGAGCATCCAATTTCGCGAGAAAATGCTGCAAAATACGACATTTTAGGTAATCTGTGTAGTCCGTGTATGTCTGTACGTATGCATTTCTTCGAACATCATAGGGGAAGCCACCCCCGCCAACCCTCCCGCTGCCTTTTAAATGCTATCACACCCTTTCTTGCAGAGATTTAATTGCACCCCTGTTCGAATCATCACTACCCCGCTCTGTTTTTCTTAATTGTTTTTTTGTATTTTTTTTGCTGGGATTGAAATGCCCTCCTGTTTGAAGCATCATTGTTTTGACCCCGTCAACCCGCCAGCTACATTTTTGGATTTTGTTACCCACGATTTGTTGGTGATGCTAGGGATGTTGGTCGGACATGCGGGGGATGTTGAAAACGATGCTGGGGATGTTGACGAGCTAGTGTAAAATGCGTCAATTTCGCGAGAAAATGCTGTAAAATACGACATTTTGCTGGCCCGGACGAAAAACGAAAAAAATTCCCAAAACAAAACGAAAAAAATTCCCAAAATAAATCCGCACCCGTTTGTTTGTTTGGTGGGGCGGCTGAGGTGATCACGAACCTGGCGCCCACCAGGTCCCTTTGAATGGGTTGACGGTCCAAACCAGCGCTTCCATGTTTGTGGGATGGGACCCTCAAAACACTTAAAGCATTCAATAATCAAAACATCTTTAAGGGTTTCGAGGTCCAGGCGGCCCTTCTTCTTTTTGTTCCTGAAAAACCGGAAGAGACCACCCCACCCCAGCCAGCCCAGCCACCCTGCCACCCCACCCACCCCACCTACCCCACCCACCCCACCCACCCACCCCACCCCCCCAGCCCACCCCACCCCAACCAGCCCCAATTTTCGGCCGGCAGAGGTGACCATAACCTATCAGAGGTAATGTCAAGGTATGTCAACCCAATACCAGCTGGTTGCTTCTATTTTTGTACCCCCCCCCCCCCACCCCCATCCCCCCACCCCCACCAAGAGTCGGTTTGTTTGTTTGGGGGCGCGGCTGAGGTGATCACGAACATGGCGCCCACCAGGTCCCAAACCACCCACCGCACCCACCCCATCCCACCCACCCCACACACCCCACCCCCCACCTCCCAGCCCCCCCAGCCACCCGGCAGAGGTGACCATGAACTTCCACCCGGTGAAGATCAGCGCCGCGGGTCACGAGCTGGGCAGCGCCCTGCTCTTCGGGTACCGCCTGGGCTTCAGCGGCACGCCCAGCAACCTGCTGCCGGAGGATGGTGGGTGGGGGGGGGGTGGTGGGGGAGGTGGGGGAGGTGGGGGAGGTGGGGGAGGTGGGGGAGGTGGGGGAGGCTGGGGAGGTGGCGGGTCGGAGGTGGAAGCGGGTGGGTCTGACCGCAGGACCTTGGCGAATGCTTCTACGAGCCAGGCAGGTTTGGGCCCCAATCGGGATGCTGTCCCTTTTGACTTGTATGTGGTTGTCCTTTTCACTTTTCTTTGGTTCCTCTTGGTTTGCTGATGTTTTCCTTTCAGTATCCCTTTCGTCTTGCCTTGGCTTCCTTTTCTGTTCCTTTAGTCTGACCAATCCAAAGGGGGCACCGAAGACACACCCCGACACAATCAAAACCTAGATGAATGTAGGGCCAACCAAAAAAATGTGCGGCAAGAAGCTCTTTAGATTCTTTACCATTGCCTTGCATAGCACACGTCATAGCATAGTTTAATTGTGACTCTAGCCACAAACTGAAGGGTGAAACAGCCTGACACTCTCTTGACTATGATTGGGATGCTGGTAACGTGTATAATTTGTTGTCACTCCGTGTCTCAGCATTTCTAAACTGACAAGAAGACACGTTCAGCTCTTGCCAACTAAACAGGCAAGCTGACCCCTGATCAATACCGGTATTTGTTTGGGGTCTCGTTTCACCCTTCCGACCAGGATATGTGAGGAACTGCCTCCCCACCAGTGAACTTATCGGGCAATCAATCAACTTGGCAACGCAATACGTGTACGTGTCGAGACAAGGCAATCCCATGGTGGTTTTCCAGTAAACTAAAAGGTGGCAAGGGTACTCCAGAAGCAGCGCAGACGCATATTTTCTGTGGCTACGTCAAGATTGCGGCATAGGTGTCCTTTTTGTTCAGTTTAGTTGAAAACCAAAGAGCCCAGGCAGACCTATTGGTTTAATCATGTATCAGGACAACTAGGTTCCCCAGTAGTGCCCTTTTACCCTTTTTGGGGAAGGGTTCCCCTACTAAGATAGACTCTCTACTGGAGGACTTAGACAATCTATTTTCCCAAAAAGGACACCCATGGATCGGGGCCACTGGGACTGCCTTCCGGCAGGCAGTGATGGCCAAGTGACGGCGGTGCTCACCGACCCTGCAGTGACCACGGCAGAGGCACGCGCCTCCGCGACTGTGACCCGCGCCTCTGCCGATGCGCGGGTCACTGGGTTGCTTGGTGGTGGCCAAGCTGTGAGTTTGGGTACGTGTCCAAGGGGAAACCCTCCGGAAAAAAAGGGTTTGTTTTCGGTGTGCCTCTAAGCCACCCCAGCACAAAGGGTACTCTCAAAAGACACCTTTCATTTGGGTTGTCTCAAACTAGGAATCGGAGCTGCAAAATGGCTGGTGCTGGTCATGGTCATTTCATTTTTCACATTCCTGGAGTCTCCATGACCCTTTACAAATAGGTCCATGCCCCCATTATTTAGGGTAATGACCAACCATTTTTGAGGGGTCCTGGAGACTCCAGGTCTCAGATGACTCTCTGGGGTTGATCCCGCAGCCGGAGATATCAGAGCTTTTGTAGGAAATGCAGGAGCTCGACTCCATGTTGACTGACCAAAGGACTCAAGCGGGGAACAACTAGCTCCCCAAGCTAGGTGCCCTTTGAGGGTTCGTCTACTAAAACAGACTACTGAAAAAAGTTGGTACCGTAATCTAACCTCTCTACTGGAGGGCCTAGACAATCGTCTGCGACAAATAGCAGCACCCAACTGATTTTTCAACCAAACCAAAGTCCCAAGTGTCCAAAAAGCAGTAGTTTGAGGGGTGGGGGGTGCTGGTAGGGATGCCTCTTTTGTGAAGATCGCTTTTTGTGCCCTTTTTGAAGTGGACCCAGGTTTCCGAACTTCTGACCACAAATGGTTATGTCGATCTTAAGTAGGACCCCAAAATGGAGAGTCCATGTAAACCAACCCCGAAAGGGTACCCTCAACAAAGACACAATTCAAATCAGGTGTCGAGGGTTCCTTCGCTTTTTAGTGGTTTTTAGTGGGTTTAGTGGCAGTTTGTCCGGATTTCGCCCACTAAAAGTGGGTCACTTCATCTGCCCCGCAGATGCGAAAGTTGGCCGAAGTTGGTGGGAGCTGCCAGGTGTGTCCAGCGGACTGGAGCCCTGGTCAGCTCTTGGAGCGGGTGGCTTCTGGGGCGTTCCATGCGCTCATCGACACAGGCGGATGGACGTGCGATGGTTTGAAGGAGACTCAGTCCCGGAGTTCCGGGACTGGGACCTGAGTTTCGCCGTTGGGTTCTTTGGACCATGTTGGTGGTAAACAGAACGTTTGGGCTTTGTTTGGCCAACCCACTCATGAAACGAGGAGTGGGGTACCATTTCAGTGGTAAACAACAAGTTTGGACTTTTTTTACCTACCCAGTCAGGAAGTGAGGAGAGGGCCGGACGTGGGGCAAAGAAGTTGACTGATACTCACCTTATGGAATCCCTAAAGGGCGTGGTCCCGCTTAGGGAACGAACCTGGATAGTGAGACGTTTTGGCAAGGATTCTATTGGGCCAAGTGGTTCCACCCCATAACTCATCCTGTTGGTGCCCTAACACGGGTCCCGAATTCTGCATCAATCATGTCCACCATTCTGGTTCTAACCACGGCTTGTTCAACCATGCAACCAAAATCCTAACTGTCCAAAAGCAGTAGTTGCGGGGTACTGGGTTGCATTGAGGTATATTTGTTCGACAACAATCGTGCAAAATGGGTGGGGCACTTGTTGCTTGGGAGGCTCTTTGCGCCCCGCTTCCCCGAGCCTTGGACGCTTTCGTATTTTACTCAGGTTTCCGCCGTCTCAATCGGTAAAGAGAGGGCCAGAGGATTGGGGTAGAGTTTGGATTGAGTTGCCCCCACTTTTGGCTCTTTCCGTTTTCTGGAAGCACCCAAATCGAGAACAGGCAGAAACTATCCATCGCTAGGCTTGCAACATGCTTGTGGAGCATGGCTTTTTGTGGTTGCTACCTCCTGGTGGCCAAACAACTCCCCTGGCCCGTCTGTTGCCGCGGCAGGTGCGCTCATCACCAACATGGACAATGAGCAGGCCACTGTTGGCTTACATAGCATCAGGGTTGCGGCTGTCGCCGAAGCCAATGAACTTGGTACAGAAAATAGTTTAATCAGTACTTGTTCACATTGATGTATACATGACATATCCTGGACTCTTGACACATATATATATATATATAAACAGCATTTTTTCGGTTTAACATGTCACCAGAGTAGAACACTGGTATTTTTTATCCTCGTGTTTCCTTCACAAGCCCACTTTCTAGCACCTGTCTAGCCTTAGGGCTCGGCCGATTCGCCCGGAGGAACCTTGACCCGGCGCAGGTGGCATCCCTGTGTTCAACTGGTTTTTGAGGGGCGGTCCCTTTGGCATCTACACAAAAGAGTGCTGATTCTTTCCTCCAATGGAAGTCCAGCACATGCCCCGCTGGATCTTTCAGTCATTTATTTGCGTTTATTTGCTCTCCCTCCATGAAAGTTGACAGAGGTTTTGGAACACTACTTCCCTTTTCGACCGCCCCGGCTCAGTTTCATGCTTGTTTGGCAAAAAATGACCTTCTGGAACTGCAGAACACATGCTGCCTGCTTACTGACCCCCAAACACAACTTGGGTATGTGTCAAAGTCGGGTGACTATGGAAGATGTTCCTTTTGGTCTCCCTTTTAACCAAGCCCAACAAGAGCATCCATTGCCAAACTTGTCCCTCGCAAAAAGACGCCCCTCTCCTTTTTTTGGCGGGTCGGCATCTGGTCAACTAGGTCCCCCAGTAATGCCCTTTTCCCAACTTTTTGGGGTAGGGTTCCCCTAAAATAGACTGCAGAGAAAAGTTGTTACCCTTATTCTAACCTCTCTACTGGCAGACCTAGTCAAGCTAGGGAGTTCTTTTGGCCGCTCTTTCGCCCGGGGCTCCGCGGCTCCTCGCGTCTCGAGCCCGCGTCTCGAGCCGCGACGTCGAGGTGGCTCGAGAGCTGTTGGCGAAGCTGCCGGCGGCGAGCTTCGACGGGGTGGTCTTCTTGGACCAGAGCGACCGCAAGATGATCCTCGTGAGGCCCGGGGTAGCGGCCGGGCGGCGGCCGGGGCGGTGGCGGGGCGGTTTTTTGGGGTTTGCCTGGATTCAGGCCCCCCAA